AATTTCCGAGAAAAGAAGAATAGCCAAGTTATGAAAGAAAGGGAAAATTTGCATTAAAATACCTACAAAGGAGATGAAAACATTTTAAGGCCACCGCGTCTTCTACCGGCAATTAGGCGCCAAAAACACAAAAGCGCACGCACGCACGTAACTACAACTTTGAATGTGACTGGTTGATTTAAACTACATCTTTGAATGTGATTGGCTTATTGAACTGTCCGATAACAAACTGTCCGACAACAATTTGGCAAGTGAATTAGTGGAAAATAGGAGTTTTTTAAACCAATCACAATCGTAGGCTCGATTACCAGCCGCTGTTCGGGACCGGACTCGAGAAAGCGGCGGAAATCGAGCCTATCACAATCGCGGAAATCGTAATTTTTATGATTATAATAATAATTCAGAAATGAAATGCTGACTGTGCTGGCACATGTTCCTGATCTGATCGGGTTGTGCTTTCTCATAATCTAGCCACTTGGATTTACATGAAAAAGATAAAGAGAAGTTACAAACTGCTTTTCAACAGTCCCGAGACCCCGCCAAAAGGAAGTGAACTCCGCACCTTAACACAGACCAACAAAGTCCAAGAATTCCAAATCAGTGTCATGGCCACTACGTTCTTGATCATTACACCTAATTGTACCATTCCGGTTCACTTTGGTGGCATATCAGGCCAGTTTGGCCAAGCAATGGTTTGTATTTCGCAGAGACGTAAACAAACCCCAATACCCATGGCTAGACCAAACCAGCCTGATATGCCTCTGAAGCATACTAAAAAAGGTTGCATTAGGTATTTTTACCATACCCAAATTTGGCCTAGTGACCATGATATCCTGGGATATCGGACAGAAGACAGATCTTCTGATTGGTTAATAAAATTTGTTAATTTAGGCACGGTTATCACTGATATGTTGCGTTCAATTTTCCTTACACTCATTTTCACAAAATATCAGCCAGTTCAAATCTTCACTCCAAATATGGCAGATCCATTGCGAGGAGGAAAGAAAGCCCTGCCCTTGAGTAACATTGTGATTAAGGCTGAAAAGGGCCAATGAAGACCTCTTTTAGCATTTTTCACTCTGAGCCCCCAGAGTTTCTCTAAAATCCATGCTTTTAGAGAAATGAAGCACATCATAAATTTTAAAAACCTACCTAAAAGCATTACAATACCATAAATATTACTTTAAAAAATGGGTACAAGTCAATTGCCATAAATTATCATAATATTATAAAGGTTTCATTGAATAATCATAATTATTATTGATAGTCTGTAATACATTATGCTAAATAGATTGAAGTAATTGTCTTTCTAATTCACGGTTGTTAAAGTGTGTATCGAGGTTCTGTAGGTCCATCAGTCACTGTGCAAAATTTGACTCCACTGGGGAGGTCTGGAGGCTGTCGTGCAAATATCACTCTGATGTCCGTGTGAAGATACAGTCGTCCTGACTTGGAACTAACAAATCTAAAATACAAAATTAAAGAAGATTTTATGGTAAGCTCTTGGCTTTAACAACAATGGGATAAACTGCCTTGTGTAAATAAACAAATTTACATGACTGTATATAATCTGGTTGTTTACATGCAACCAAAACAAAATCCAGAAGAAAGCTTACACCAGTCTGAACATCATCCGAACGTGAATAATTTCACAACCTACTGAACTGACTCAACTCATTAAAACATTCATTCCAAGGGGCCTCTAATACCACTACCAGACACTAAAAGAACCATTAAAGTAGTGCCTACGAGTGTTGTACTGAGTATTGCACAAAATAATCAAGACATTTTGTGGCTTTTTGACAGAAATCCACAAAATTACTGGGAAAAAAGAACATCATTTTGTAATGAAACCATTGCAACATTTCACGACTGATGATTTCATCATTTCAAATTTTAATGGTCTGAGCAAAAAATATTTCTGTCAGTGATAACAACCTTTTGTCTTTTCGTCTAAAGAAAGGAATAGTTTGCTTGCTTTTTCATGTGGCAAGGAGCAGAGTTTGTACAATTCCACTGAATCAAGCAATAACCTCCTTTCCTTTGTACACTATTATTCCTTTCCTAAATCATTTATAATGGTAACAGGACTGAGTGGAGTCCAATTCAGTCTGTAATCATACAAGTGATTAACAAAATCGGATGACTGCAAAGCGGGAGTCTGATTTGTCAATCACAAGTATGATTACAGACTGAATTGGACGATGCGAAGCCCTGTTATTAATTAATCAAAACTATGACAAAATTTGAGAAACAAACAAACCATCGATTGAGCGCTCAACGATTAAATGTCGTTATGAATGCTGAAAAACTCAGCAGTTTACTCAACAAAGTGCACCGCAACAGCACACGCAAAGTGACGCGTACTGTCCAATTACAAGCATGACGTGTACACTGTCCAATTAATGCTCAAATCAGGTTGCTGATAGCCAATCATGTTCAAGAATTTTGTTACAGTTTTGATTACAGTAGAAATAGGTTAAGCTTACCTCAAGTGAATTAGATAGTGTAGAGAATTTTGATCCTGAAACAAGACATTAAAAAACTTTTTATATTTCTATGGATTGATTTGTCAGTCTAAGTTACAATAATACATAACAATATGCTGTGCCTTTGGCACAAATTGCTAACCTACTGACTACAATTGTTGATTAAATTTAATCTAATCAGCGAGTGTAGTCATGCCGTGTAGATTAAATTACAATAAGTAAGAAAAGGAAAATCGTTCTAAGAAAAATCAGTTCCAGTGGAACAAACTCATTGACAAACAGTTGGTAATCAATGCTTTGAATCATTACTCTGTGAAAACCTCCTTAGCTCCAGCTAAACTAGCCTGCAAAAAGGCTCCCGGCGAGGATGGAAAAAAATTTCAGCAAGCGCGAAACAGAAGAATTCGGAGTGCAAAGCGATTGGGGCAGGGACAGGGGCTTCGTTCGGGCTCACCAGGAACCTGTTTGCAGGCTACAGCTAGACGTTTCACCATTTTCTCAGATCATTAAATGTGCACAATGAAATGTAATACTAGAAGTGAATGAAATGGTGGAGGGCCTTTTGTGTTGAAAATGAGGTGTGCTGAATTACATACCTCTTTTGATTGGCAAGAATGTCTCCAGACTGAAAATGTTCTTTGCCTGAGAAACGTCTGTGCCTTAGGAGGCATATCACTGAAGTCATACAGCACAACAAACATTTTAACTACAGTTTTGTTTGGGTTGAACACAGTCTGAAATCACACCAAAATTTAAATAAAGAGGTTATTAATTAAAATACAGAATAACATTCTAGTCCAGGTGCAGTACCACAAACTAAATATGATCCTGGTTATAAAGCTGGTGTGCGAGTAATATGTGAGTCGTTTACAAGTCTGATGGTTTAAAAACTACTGGTGTAAGGTTACCCAGAATCTCTTAAATGCAGACACTTCCTTTGAAGATGAACAGATTAAGTGCTGGTCTTGAATGTGTTCATGCATCTTAGGGAGATTTTACTGAATTATTCGGAAGCAACTTACATGTACAATCTTCATCCTTTGGCAAAACCTTGAAATTATGTCAAGTCTTAATTAGTTACATGTACAGAGTTACTAATTAAAAGTTACTGTCTCACTGTGATTCTTCCCAACACAGGCCTTTGGTGTGCTGTTACCTGCTTGAAAGCAGTGTTCAAAGTACATTGGCTGTACATTGTAGAGTTAAACTGGAAACTGGACTTATCATGTAAATTAAAGCCATGATTGTTGTTAGCTCTTTTAAGTTGCACTATGACAGCAGTTCAGTGGCTTACCAGCTGTACAGTTCCCTTGGTGGGTACATGGTATCCTTTCCGGCTGATTCTTGGATCATCTAAACTGATGTAGCCCTAGAGAACATAGTTATAACAAGTCAGAGTCTTAATACCTCAACTGACGATGTACATGTACAGCTACACTGTAACTCTTAAACTCAGCACAAATCTGGTCACTTAACTTGCAAAAGCTCCCCTCAGTCCCCTAGTTAAATCACCATTAAAAAAAAAAACTGACTGTATAGTGTTTGCAAGATAATATTACAGTTAAGGTTCAGAATTTTGATAATAATTCATCATGTCCTTGTCCTTGAGATTCTGACAATATTATTCTAGAATGACTCACCATATACATATACATGTAGTATACAAAATTGTACACTGAAGAAGCTAAGCTCACCAAATAAGGAGATGGAGCATTGTCATCAGAGAGACTGAAAAAATATGCCTTGACAGGTAGCATGACATGTGCTGGACAGAAACAACCACCGGCACCTAACTCAGCTGTAAAACCCTGTGTACAGCAAGAACAGAGGAAAAAGTTCAATTAAACTCATCACAAATAGATGAGCTTGGGAACTGGTGCCTTAAAGGTTAGCGGGGTGCCAAAGCCATAAGCCGCTAGGAGGTATCCATGGCA